TTGATAAAAAAATTTGACAAATTTTTTTTTGAGATTAATAAAAATTGTTTTTAGGCTGTTGCTAGGTTGAACTAAACTTAACTACTTCTGAATCACGGCGTATTATTATACCGACTAAGAGCGATGCTCGTCATAAACTTTCCAATATTGTTTTTTTTTTTCAGCGTCAGTGAATGATGATGCGATAACAGGAAGAGAAGCACTGGCCGAATGGGACCAGCTGATCGGAGAGCTGTGTCATCACGTGAACACGATCAGCGACATGATCGAATTGAAGCATCCGTTGTGGTGCGAAACGCTCAAGCAAATTAGTAACTGTGCATAAACTGTTTTGGAATTTTCACCTCTCTGGGAAACGCGGAGAGTTTAACGGGTGGTCCTGAATTCATAATAAGTGGCGCTTACCGTGGCTTAAGTTTACCCCTCTAGTTTGCATCGTAAAATATCACCTTACACATGGCGCGTGAGGACAATCCTTCTGAGCTGGAAAACAAATCATTCAGCGATTCTTTGGGATATTTTGTTACATTCCGGTGATTCCATGTAGATCCTGCACGTACATAATGGCAAATGCGCAAAAATTGGGCACTGAAGGGTAGCGTCTGGTTTATTTGTGTCCTTTCGTCACAGTTTGTGGAGTACACCACTGTGATAATTTTTTTGAAGTATTTTTTTGCGTAAAACAGACAAATTTGTTTTAAAAATAGGTCAAATTTGTGATAGTGCATTTCTCCCCTGTTTTTTGGCCGACTGTTTACTGCAGCTAAAATTATTTTTGTTTTGAAATTACGCCAAATTCCTGGCAATTATTCCCATATTCGGAGCTTGAAATCATTTCGTTTTTTTTTTTTTGTTTTTGAATTTTGTTTGTTTTGTGATAAATATGCTCTTTCTGGTTTGTTGTACAGTCGAATTTACATGAAGTGTTTGCTTGCAAACCGGATCTTATCACGGCCATTCATCAGTGGCAACACCTGATATGTCTCCGTAGGGCATTAATTTGAAAACACATTTGTTGCCGCCAAAATAAGCCCACTTATCATTATGAAAATCACTGAGAGGACTTAGCAGATTTTCTTTTTTTTCGAGTGATATCCCTAATATTTTGCACTGGCATAAGATTGCGTGAGGGCAATCTCTTTTGGCTTTAGAAAAGTTGTCAAAATCGCTTGTGCAACAAAAAAAAGTACAGAAAAATGCGTTGTTTGACACAAGATTCAGCCTAGAAAAGCAGTAAAACAGAAAAACAGACAAGCACGAAAGTTAGTAATAGAAATGTAGGATTTAGTGAAAATGGTGTAAAATATCTACCAGTAACATGAAGTACCCGCAATGGCAGTTCGTGCGGTCTTGGTATTCTTGGCGCAAATTATGGGGGACGGGTGTGTTACTCATTGGCAAGTTATTAATTTCAGCCGAATGAATAATTCGGAAAAGTTAAAATTTGTTACAATGTGAATAAATTTGATAAGAAGCATTATTAGGTTTGGATTTAAAGTGCTGAAAAAAAAGTCATGAAGAGCGTTTGGAAAAAAACATACTGGTTTGAAAATATAGTAATCATCTGCCGTCGTAGTGTTACTTTCATGCTAATATAAAAAGATAGTAACTTCTCCATTCTCCTATTTAAGCGTTTCTCATTCATATAAGGCTCTATGCAGCTGTTCAAGCGAATTCTTCCATACCCAGCTCAGGCGGTTCTTTTTGTGTTCTTCCAATTGTCGGTACTGCACGCTTTTCTAAAAATCAGCAAACGACACATTCAGCGAGTAACAGCCTTGGTGCACCACTTGGGCGGCCTCCAAAATGAACTGTTCTCCAAAACGATCGGTATCTCTGCATCAGACACGACACATCTAAATACTGATACTCCGGGAAGGCATTTGACACTCATAAAAACATGTCCTTCAAACACATAAAAAATTTTCAAAAATTTATGCAAAAGGACGCGACACTTGTTTTTTTTTCACAAAAGGGCATGTACAAAAGCTTATTTAAATAAGTAGAAATTGTCGAGAAAGGCAGGAAGTGTTCCTTTACTTTCAATTTGGCGAAGAGCTCTGTTTTGATTTGGCTTCTTTTGTGGAAAAACCGGACTGTGAATTACGGACAACAGCACTGCCTGGGCGAATAGCACCACACCTTTTTTCGCTTTCGGAAGGAATAAAACTCGAAATTTTGTTATAATTTGAGTGCGCGCAACTATGGTTGCCTCGCTGAATACACCCTTCCCTTAGTTCAGCGGGTCTCGCCCTTCAGTACTGTGATGTTGGTTGTAAAAGTGTACTG